ATGCCACCGTTAATAATCAAGCGAAACTAATTAATTAACTAATTAAAAAATAATACTACTTACCACTGGAAGTGGAGGGCTACCCTTAGTAAAATACTGCCAGACCTCCTTTCCGCGACCATTGATTGTTCCACCGCCAGTAACAACAAGGCCGTCAACTTTTTCAATCATGATCCAAGCACCACGTGTGTAGACACTCATATCATCATACGCCAATAGATTTCCCTGTATTTCTATAGTTATTGGTTTTTGTGCAGTGCAAGGTCCAGCCATTACAACCTCCCCTGCCACAAAGTCTCCACGTGGGATCAATACCTTTGCTGCTCCCACAGTGGTGCATGCTGCTCTCCATGCCTTAATTATTGCCTGCACGTGACGAGTTCAGGAAGTTTTTTTTACAAGGTGGACTTAATCAAAAATAAGGAAAACAAAAGAAAATAAGTTTTTTTAGGAAGTTTTTTCATTAATTTGATTTTTGGCTAGACTAAATAATAAAAATTAGGTGCACTAAATAGAAATATATGTATAACATGGTGGAAAAAAATTCTCGCCACTACGTACATAATCATTTTTTTTATATTTCTGATCATTTTAAACAAAAGTACAAGTCTCTATATAGTATATATATTTGTTTATAAGCTCATTTAATTAAAATAAATAAAATCTGGTATGTACCATGGCATCGTCGGTAATGCCATCGCCTTTAGCCCCAAACTTAGTAACATCAAAAATTGTCTCACCAATTAAGCTACGGCGGGATTGGAAATCAGGATAATTGTCACATCGGACAACGTTGATCAAAGCAAGCAAGCCCAAAACAAGGCATGCATGTAAGATCTCTCGACTTCCTTCTGAATTTGCCATAGCTAATTAATTATGACAATTTTTGTTATGGTGTTTGGGGTATTTTATTATCAAATGCTAATCGTAGCAGCATATGCAATGTCGCTCTTCTGCCCATCACTATTCTCTTCCTTTTTATATATACCGTTGTCTATCATAAATACCATCTCCTTTAATTTCTACGATTCACAATTACTATTTCATCTAGTTCACTTGTTAATTAGTGATTATAATCAAAATGGTACACGATATATCTGGTCGATTTTGAATGAGGGAGGATATTTAGTCACCATATAATTTATGTGACCAACGACCACATATTTTC